ATGTTTATTTTAATTTTATAACAAAAAGCATTACGTTACTATAAATATTAAATGATGTGCTTTAGGGGCTGATTATTTAGATTAAAACCTATATTTGTAAAGCCAAAAACAAAAAAAAGGAGGGAAAAAATTGCTTTTCTAACTTTGTATTTAAAAAACCTATATGTTGCTATTTTAAAAGTCAGCTTTTTTGGCACAAGTAATACTTGTGCCTTGTTTCCAAATGAAGAACTAAGTGAGATAAATAGAGAGCTAAATTTCAGACTATTTATAAACATTTAGTCAGGAGCTAATTACTTCCCCACAAAAAATAACAAAACAAAGTCCAGAAAATTGGTTGTTATTATTACTTTGTTTTTTAAAATATGAGGAACATTTCTATACGTACTATGTACACACAAGAGTACTTCAAAACATTGATTCTTTTTTAGTCCCCCTTACACATTCTGTGTGTATTTGCATTTGTATGCATTTCCATTTGTCCAATGCAATCTGAATATCATAGGTGATTTTGAAGCAAAAGCATTACATTGTTATACTCTATTAACTTGTTATATTGTATTGTACTTACTCTGTTTGTTTTTATCCAGTCATCCATTTTGAGTACAAGTTAAACAGTATGTGACTAATGGGGATAAAATATATATATTTAACCCTGTCATCAAAAAAACATTATGGTGACTGCTGGTATTGACCTGAATAATAAATGCCTTAAGTGGTTGAGTCATGAGCCAATTTATCTGCTTATTAAAAACTCACTTGAAAGTTCTCAGATTGGCTTCTTTTACAGAAAATATTTGCATATCCTTGCATGTGTATGTTAGACACAAAATTGAAGCAGTAATTATTGTTGCCTTTTATAAAATGGGGCCCTAAAACTATTCAAGCACAGAAAGTGCTCGCATTCAGATGTACTCAAAGTGATACATTCCAGGATGTTTATGGGTGTGTGTGTGTGTTTTAAAATGTGGGAGGCGCTGAAGGAGGCACACATTTTAATGCCCACCACTACAGGACTAAATAATAGTGGTGCGGTACTGCAAATACAGAAGCACACTAGCTGTCTGTGCCTGTGTGAAAAGCAACTCGCACAACAGTGTGTAGATAATGTGAAATTGGTGTCCTAGTAGTGGGGGGGGGGGGTTGGGGGAGAGCTGTCTGGATGCCACACTGCTAACAGTGGCTGCTTGAGGGACAAGGGGTGTGGTGGGGAGGACTTGGAAGGTAGAAGGAGATTGATGTTTACATCTTACCTTTTAAGTTGTAGTGTGGCCTTGCTGGTAATTATTTTTAATGGTGAGCACAATTAAAATTGTTTATAAATCACAACGAAAAAGGTTACCACTGTTGGAAGCACTTATTGTCTCTTTTACAGTTTCTGATTATTAGATAATAGTTCTTCCCATACAAGGAGCTCTGGTGGTATAAATAACCAGCTAAATGTTCAGCTGCTGACTAAAAGGTGGGCAGTTTAAATCCACACAGAGTCCACAGAGACTGGACTTTACAGGAAGCAAAGTTAAAAAACTGCAGCAGTGTGGAAAGAATCTGTCCAAGGCTATGGGTGAGCAAGCAACCAGATTTGGGTTTAAAATTCCCACCGAGGATGCCTAATGCACGGCGACTCAAGACTATCATGTGTGTGCCCTTTCTGTGAACGCCTCCTTTGTATGACAAGTTTAGTCCCGCGCTACCCTTATGAATGAACATCGTTGAAAGTGTACCAATCTCCAACTCTCGTTTTGGTCCAGTCACCTAAGTTGGTAATCCTTACAAATCAACAGTCCAAATATTTTGGTCTAAAAATTTGTCCTATACATGTATGCTTTCTTTTTTCTCCATAGTGTTTTAAGTTTTGTATCACCAGCTGAATTAATGGAAATATCAATACAACTATCAGTGTGCCCCAAGGGTATAATTTATAATGTCTTCCAACAAAATAATAATATCTTTAAAGAGTGAACAAGAGACATATATAAACCTTAGATAAACGAATGGATTTTGAGCTCGAACTTACTTGTAACCCTAATCGAAGAAAGGTTAGTTTTATGACATGGCCCTGCTTAATACCTTCTTCCATGAAGTGATCACTGAAGATAGTGTTTGGGCGGGGTCCGGAGTAGGCAGCCCTCATTTCCAGCCTCTTGGGAAAATAAATGACTTATTGAAGTATGCATCTTCTGCCCCAACATTCCAAGGATCTTATCTTTCCAGACCAAGGTTGTGCAGCCCCTGTCCCAACACTACCCAGGGGTCCTCAAACTACGGCCTGAGGGCCACATGCGGCCCGCCCAGGGTATATCCAGGCCGCTAGGTATTTTTGCCCTGTTTGCAGTGTGCATAGGAATTTGTTCATAGTTTTTTTAAAAAAAACTTAAGTCCAGCCCTCCAACGGGTCTGAGGGACACTGAATTGGCCCCCTGTTAAAAAAGTTTCAGGACCCCTGCTTCAGGGAGTAGGTTGGCAAACAACAAAGGCACTTTCCAAGGATCACATCCTGACTCAAGGTCCTGCAGCTGCAAGCAAAAAAATCTCCCTTCTTGTTGTCAGTATATACCTCCCTAGCTCGAGCCCTATATATCTCCCACTGCCTCACCGAGAAGCTGCGATTTCCCTGACCTAACTCGTTGGGTCTCGGAACCTGCCCTGGAGCTCAAGATGCTTCTGTCCCTTTCTCTGCTCTCCCTTCCCTCCCATGAGCTCTTTCCATACGCTAATAAAGCCACTGTCAACCTCACGTTCTTTGTCTCAATCCTATCTTCGTTCGTGTCTCGGGTGCTATAGCAAAGTGTAGTGAAGAAAGCGGATGGTGCCTGGCTATCAGAAAGAATAGCATCTGGGTTCTTAAAGGCTTGTCTTCAAATAAGCAACCATGTAAGTGAGGCATCAACTAAGCCCACACAGGAAGCATCCCAGCTTCTGTGATCCAAGCATTGTAAATAATAAAATCCAATGGTATTAGAACCTAAACCCTAAACACACAGTTTGCAGAAGGCTGTGGATGACAGTGAATGCCCCAAACCCATTCATAAAGTCCCCCATGCTGTTTAAGCCGCAGGTGAATCCCCTCTGACTGTGGACCCAAGGATGGGAAAGTTCTTAATATCAGAGTATGTTGTTATAGGGCAAGTACTGTAGTTTACTGAGATCAAAGTATGATACCTTGTCATTTGATCTCTTGATCCAATATATCATTGTTCCATTTTTTAATATTTTCTTTGTTTTCTCTTGGGTTTTTTCTGTTTCATTCTGTCATTGTTCTTGGACCATTTGTGTTTTGTTTTGATTCAGTATGTTTTCCTGTGTATGAAACCCAGGTTGGGTAAACCTTTAGAGACAGTTTGAAAGGGATATAGCAGGGGAACTTAGAAATGGAGAGCTAGTGATGAGTACAAGGCAGAAGTAGTATCCTGGAATTCATAGTGGTTGGTGATGGTCGCACAACTCTTATGAAGGAATGTGATTGAACTAATGAAGTGTATATGCATGAGTTGTATGTTGGTGAAATTGTCCAAAATAAGTAAGCTAATTTAAAAGAAAAAAATTTTAACTGCAGTGAAAAACCCTGTGGAGCAGTTCTACTTGTCACAAGGTTGTCTCATGGTGAAAACTGCTGGACAGCACAGCAGCAGCAACTACTTGTGTTTATAATAGATTCAGTGAGCTCTTAAAGTCAGGCAGTATGTGACGATCTCTCTGATTCCCAGGGCCTAGCCAGTGTCTCCCTCCAAAGAACTAAACTGCCATCTAATTGATTCTGACTCACAGCGACCCTATCAGTCATGGTAGAACTGCCCTTACGGGTTTCTGAGACGGTTTACAGGAGTAGAAAGCCTCGTATTTCTCCCAGCAAATGTCTGGTCATTTTGAACTATATACCTTGCAGTTAGCAGCCCAATGCATAACCGCTGTGCCACCAGGACCCTTAGTGTCTCTCACAGGAGATTCTTAAAAAGATTTGAATAAAGGCAGAAGGTAGGGGTGACATATCTATAAGATATGTAAAATGAATAATTCAGGTAGTATTTATTAGCAGGTTTATGTCATCTTGTGTCAAGGCACTTGCCTTTGATTGGATTAAATCTATTAATTTATTTTCCCTCTAAATTTTATTTGAATTTGACTCTTAGGTCTAAATTATCTGAGTTTATATTAAAGTTTTGTTAAATATTAGCAATTATATAATTACATACTGAAATTATACTTGGTGATTGTCTTAATAACCAACTGCATAGCCACTACAACATTGCTTAGAAAAGAAATTCACCAATTTGGGTTTGTTTACAGAGTTTGGGTAACAATATAGGTGTGCCACATAATTTGGTATTTTTTTCTTAATCATTTCATTGGGGGCTCATACAACTCTTTTTTTTTTTTGACAGAGTGAGACAGTGAGAGTGAGTGAGTGAGGCAGTGAGAGTGAGTGAGTCAGTGAGTGAGAGTGAGTCAGTGAGAGAGTGAAGCAGAGAGTGAGAGAGTGAGAGTGTGGGGGCTCATACAACTCTTATCACAATCTATGCATACATCCATTGTGTCAAGCACATTTGTATATTTGTTGCTCTCATCATTCTCAAAACCTTTGCTTTCTCCTTGAGCCCTTGGCATCAGCTCATCATTTTCCCTCTCCCTCCCCGCTCCCCCCTACCTCATGAACCCTTGATAATTTATAAATTATTTTGTCATATCTTACACTGTCTGACGTCTCCCTTCACTCACTTTTCTGTTGTCCGTCCCCCATGGAGGAGGTTATATGTAGATCCTTGTAATCAGTTCCCCCTTTCCAACCCCACCCTCCCTCCACAGTATTTTTTTCCTTTGCCCCTCAAAATGAATCCAATCAATCAATAAAAATATTCCCTCTTAGAATACAAGGAAAGAGAAAAATACTTAAATCCCCCACCACTAAAGGGTAATACAATCTCTTATGTAAGATGCATCTGATTAATAACCTTATTATATGGCTTCTATCTAACTCTTCTTAACTGTTCCCTTTCCCTTAGGACTCTGATAACCCTGACCTTCGAGACCGAGGCTATATTTACTGGCGCCTTCTGTCAACGGATCCTGTCACTGCTAAAGAAGTAGTTTTGTCTGAGAAACCACTGATCTCCGAGGAAACAGACCTTATTGAGCCAACCTTGCTAGATGAACTCATTTGCCACATTGGTTCTTTGGCCTCTGTGTACCATAAGCCTCCCAATGCTTTTGTAGAAGGAAGTCATGGCATCCATCGCAAACACTTACCAATTCATCATGGAAGGTAAGCAGGAAAACTAGGTCTGAATGAAAGGTGACTGACTCTCACTTAAGACAGAGTTGGCCTTCCCCATGCTTTTATAGCTTGAAGGAGAACTTGCTGTGCATTTGCAAACCTACCACTCCACTGCCCTCGGGACTCCCTCTGAACACCGACCACATGCAATATGAGAATAGCTCATTAAGAAAATTGTCGTGGCCACCATCTTTTAAGCTGGCTAAGTTTCCAGTACAATGAAGTTAGAAATATTCCTAGAATTGAGAACTCAGGATGGGTGTGGGGAGCCCTTACCTGAGGGTGCTTCAACAAGTTCCTGGAGAAATGGATTTAAAAGATCATGGAATTTTTCCAAAACGTTTTTGAAGCCCCTGAGTCTATAGGTTATCTTGATCCTGTGACTGTGCTTAAAGTTTATGGATAAAGTTAGCGGATATTCCTATGTTGTACAGCTAATTGTGAAATAGTGTTTGCGGAAATGTTTTGTCAAACTCACCTATTTTCTATATTCGATATAGTGTCAAACCCACCTATATACTACATAGGTAGGATATAATTCTTCAGTTACCTACTGGTATGCCTTTTCACCAAAGGAAAATGATTACATTACATTAGAAAGGGAATTCTTCTGGAAACAGACTCTCAGGTAACATAGAACTCGTGCCTTAGAGCGATCCTAAAATCTTTATTAGGGAGCGCGAGGGCTCTAGTAAACTCTTAGGATGAGTATCCTGGAATGTTTTCCGAGTTTCCTTTACTTCATTAATCATATTAAACTTTAATTCTAAGTAGACTTATCCCAGATTGGTTATAATTGGGAATTTCGTACCGCTGTCTGATTTATATTACAATTTTAAGTGGTTCAGGAGTGATCAACACATAGGAATTATTGCTGTGCAAATTTATGTAGTCTACATTTTGGACTCTTGTAAACATTGTGAACGGAGATAAAGAAAAAATAAAGGGCAGTGCAAAGAAAAGATGATAAATCTTTTATTAACTTTCAATTTTGTTAAATGTTTGAATTGAAGGCAGGTGCTGTGAATTTTGAATCAAAGGAGACTTGTTTCATATGAATAGTGCTTATCCACTGTAACTAGGCAAGCCAGTTAACATCCTCTGGATACAAATGTTTAACTTCTAAGTACATATCCCAGTCTGTGCTTCCAGTTTTGTTATAGGTAGATTTTCTGTAGTACTTTGTCTTTTTTAACCATAGTAATTGGAATTTTGTACCTGTCTAATATACATTGAGATTTTTGTGCCACTTAATTTTGCATTGTCTTCTTTTGTTCCTTAAAATGAAGCCAACAAATAAAAATATCCCCTCCCTAGAATACAGGGAAAGAGAACCAGTGTTTAAACTTGGCCCCACAAAAGGAATGACCATCTCTTATATAAGATTTGTACCCAATTAACGGCCGTTAACTTGCTGTTACCCTCACTGTTCTTGTGTGATTCCTTTTGGAATGAGCTATTTGTGCTTGTCTTTTATCTTTGTTTTTAAAGCACAAATGCAATGCATTCCCATTTAATATAAAGGGAGTGATGCATAGCTTCAAATGGTGTGGCTGGGACAGTTCTGGACATTGACTCGCTCTCCTTTGCATCCTCGGGTTAATTAGAGCTTATGCCTCTGACATAAAGCACTAATACTCGGAAACCTTCTTTTGCCTCTTAGAGAACTGTAAAAGACCTCGCTAGATCTTTTAATATCAGTTGGAAATACAGAGGTCCTTTTTACTTGGCTATTGCTTACTGTGCATATGCTTAACAACTGCTCCATGGGAGGGAGGTGGTAAATAGTCTGATTTAAGAAAATCTCACCTTTTAAAAATATCACAGGGATGACAGTTAATTTCCTGTGAGTTCATATGGGGAAAGCTTTTATATTAATTTTCATATATATATGCATGTATATATATATATATATCATTTAGAAAGATGCACAGTACTGATTGACCAGCTTCTTAACTTTCAGAAACTACAATATCATTTACCTCCTTTCATCTTAACTCATTTTCTCATATATCCCTTCCTTTCCCATTATAGTGAAAGAAAATATGTGCACCATTACCTATTCTGCCTTCTATTTAGAGGTACCAATAAATCCAGGTGTGATGTCACATTTCCTAAGTGGCACTTGTCAGAAGATGATAGAATTTCACGGGTGGAAAATACCTGTAATGGAAATTTCATATATTTCTTGCCAGGTGTATATATATAATCATGCCTCCTTTTGACATCTTTGTTTATATCTGGCTCCCCATCTAGATGCTTCTCATCATGGCTTCTTGAGGCTTTTTTCCTTCCAAGTCATTTTTCTGAGGTTGTTTTTCTCTCGTGTCTGTGGTTCCATATTCATTCTCTTCTGTGATCATTAATCGTGGTTGTACCACAAGGTCATTCTGAACTTTTTCTACTTGTGTGCTTCTGTGTATGATTTCTTAGGGAACTTCTCAGGTAGCCACAGCGACTGCGAATGTATTACAGGGGTTGCAGTTTATTCTCTATTCTCATTGGATGCTCACCGTCAGAATTGACTTGATAGCAGTCAGTTTGCGTTATGGAGAATTGCTAACATTTCATTGATTGTAAACCTTGTCTCCAAGAGGTTGTCACTCATGTGCAATTAGAATTGGAACCAGTACTTGATCTCAGTTGTTTGATTCTAGATCCCTTCCCCTGACCACTGTCTCGTACCCTTCCCCATTGCTGCGATGCTTTTATCAGAGATGTGTCTGTCAATGTCTTCCCAAGTCTACATTGCTAGTTCTGACGAGTCTCTCTGTTTTGACTGCTTATTGGACTCTGCTGTTCATTTTCCTTACTTGAAACTTAACAAAAGTGAGCAATAGCGTGTTGCCTTTTCTATCACCTCTTTACTTTCCACTATGATTATTAGGAGCACTACTAGTCTTAATATTTTCCCCATGCCTTCTTTTATATTCCAAGTATTGTAGAAATCTACCTTCATTGTTATTGTTAGGAAAACACTTATTAATTGAATTTTTGCAGTGTATTTGTTACTTCTTAAATGTAAATCTTAAAAAGCATGCAAGATAGTATAACAAACTCAGGATCTACACTCAACTTCTGTTATTATCACTATTTTGCTAATCTTGTTTTATTTCTCATAGGAGTGTGAAATATTTTTACTCAAATCCCAGACATCATATAATTTCATCCATAATTACTTCTTTACTTGGTATCTCTAGCAGATAGGGACCTTAAAAAAAACCCAAAGTCTAATAAAGTTACAAATATTTCCTTAATGTCATTCAATTTCTGCTCTGAAAACCTTCAAAATTTCTCAGTTTTCCAATTTCCTTTTCTTTTAGGGTTTGTGTGAGTATATAGCCTTTTCTTTCTGTAAACGTGTAGAGAAGAAGTCAGTGAAGCTTTCTGGGCCTGGGATTGTCTTTGTGGAAAATTTTAAATATATTGATGTACGATCCAGCATGAACATTTACATATGTATACATTCATATAACTGTGCCCTGGTCAGATGTAGAATATATATTTCCAGCACTCTAGAGGGTTCCTCGTAACCATTTGGTCTCAGTAACCGCTCTAAAAGTCATCGCTATTTTCTGGCTTCCATCATTGTCCATTAGTTTTGCTCTGTCCTGCGCATCGTGTGAGTATAGAGCCGTGTAAAGTGTACTCTGAGATCTGCCTTGTTTCAGTCAAGATAATGTCGATGAGATTCATCTACTTTGTGCTATCAGTAGTTGGTTTGTTTTTTTTTACTGAATGATATAGTAGTTCTTTATATGCATATAACTTGAATACAAATCCTGTGTCAGATACACAGGGAGCTTCAAAAAGTTATGGAAAATTTCCATTATCTTTCGGTTCCATTTTCCCATGAAAATGAATATGAAGCCCCCCCCTGCATATATTACGACAATCCTCTCCTCCCTAGTCTTTGGAAAATAACTTTTTCCAGCTCTCAAGGACTTGTTTTAATGTCCTCCAACTTCAACCTGAATTTACATAGAAACAGTTGATATTGAGCTGCTCTGTGATCTCTTCACACAGAGATTTGATTCCTCTGAAAATCATCTAGCAAAGTCTGTGTATAGTTGCCACTTAAGTTGTTGAAAAAAGGTATCTGCAACAAGAAGTGGATGGCTTGTAAAATTCTGTCATGTGATTTTTCAACTTCAATTTTGTTACCAAAGCTGTTTTCCCCCTTCTGATCCTTCCTTTTTGTTTCCAACGTTCACACTCTAATTACCAATAATTATCAATGTACCGGTATCTTGATTGCATGTTTGATCAATTTCAGACTGACGGTATCAGTAGAATTCATTTTCTTTATCATTAACTTTAGTGGTTAGTATATAAGTTTGAATAACGGATGTATGAACTGGATTTCCTCCTGTGTGTATAGATATTATTACTAATTCTTTGTACTGAATTCCTCTAGAATTTGCCATTTCCAGCATAGTGAACCATGTGATTATCTGATTCAAAATGGCCAATACTAGTCCATTTCAGCTCACTAATGCTCAGGATATAAATATTTATGTGTTCCATTTCATTGTTATGACTTCCAATTTTCCTAGATTCATACTTTACACATTTCACTCTTCAATTATTAATAATTATTTGGAGTTGTTTCTTTGCATTTTGAGTCTTGCCCCATCAGCAAATGAAGGACTCAAAACCTCGACTTCATCTACCTCATTATGATTGACTGTACTTTGAGAAGGTAGCTCTTCCTCAGTCGTATTTTGAGTATCTCTAACCCAATGAGGTTCATCTTCCGATATTAAATCTGACGGTATTCCAGTTATTCATAAGATGTTAGCTAGTTAATCCATCAAAGTAGACAGCTTATTCCATCTTCGTAGTCTCTTAGTCTGGAAGCTCCACCTTGGGCAAGCTTGCTGGTGTTTGAAATACTGGTGACATAACTTCCAGTATCATAGCAACACACAACAAGTGGTGGCTAGGCTACATAGTAAATGTTTCTTTTCATTTTTATCAACTATATTTTGATAGAGCCAAGAGTTTCGATCATTTTTAACAATAACAGGTTATAAAATAACCTGTCAATACCAGGTTATAAAATAAGAGATGTGCGGGGGTGGGGTGGGGGGGGCCCTCTTTTTTTAAATCATTAAGTATCTTCTTATGTACTAGTTAGGAATCCTGGTTGTGTGTAGTAGTTACATGTTGGTCTGTGATCCGATAGGACAATAGTTCGAAATCATCAGCCACTCTGCAGGAGAAAGACAAGGAAGGCTTTCTACTCCTGTTAACGGTTACAGTCTTGGAAACTCACAGGGGCAGTTGTACTGTGAACTCTGGGGTCGCTATGAGTCAGTATTGACTCAATGGCAGTGAGCTTGTTCTTTTGTTTTCTTGATGTACTCAGTGATAATGACTTTCTCTTTTGTCCTCTGTGTGTGTGTGTGTATGTGCAGCACTGATGCGGGCGACAGCCCTGTTGGCACCACCACGGCAACCAACTTGGAACAGCCTCAGGTTATACCCTCTCAAGGTGACCTTCTAGGGGATCTTTTGAATCTTGACCTTGGTCCCCCAGTCAATGTGCCACAGGTGTCTTCCATGCAAATGGGAGCAGTGGATCTCTTGGGAGGAGGACTAGATAGCCTGGTAAGCATATTTCTTTCCTCTTGTGGTAATTGTTCGTTCTTCATGTACTAGAAGGCTTGATTCAGCTTTTTAGAGCTGGAAATTTTGACGAACAATAGTGTCCTTTGATAGTGGACCATATTATTTGTCCTTAGAGAGTTATAATATTGTTCATCATTGGTATAGGATGTACCTGCAAGAATATAAGATGATTTTGTTGCCTCCTTCAAAATGGAATTTTTCGTGTTTAATCCAACAATTATTCAGCAATCTTAATGTTTAGTATCCATTCCAGAGCTGATTATTGCTTTCATTTCTTAACTCTGGCTATCCTCTAAAAATTCCCCATTTGTTCTGAACAACATTAAACTGGGCTCAAAGAAATTGTCCTATGTTGAAGCTTTAAAAAAGTTTTAACATTTTGTCTATTGGTTTATACCTTGCCTAATTCTAAAAGGTTTTGAAGCAGCCATTTGGATATAAAATAAGCCTTTACTGCAGTTGGGAAGACTGCTTGATTGGTTCTTTTTGACTCTTGTCCACTTCTTCCTTACCCCTCAATCTTCCAATTTAATTAGCTTCCAGGATTCTAATACTAAAAGGCTCCTGAGTCCATAGTGTTTGTGAATATGTGTCACCAGTAGGAACCAAGATTATTTATTGTTGTTACACAAGATAAATGAGAGCTATTAAGGTTGACCTTTCATTTGTGGAGAGAAGACCAGGAAAATAACAGGTCTCATTATCACATGGTTCCCTGCAAGCTAGATACTGATTATATTGGAATTAGACACTTTTAGCTCCACACAAATAAGATGTTTGTTGATACAGTGACTATCAAGCTGCCCAACAAATTGATTAATTTCCAACATCAGAAATTGGGAGGCATATGCCATAGATATGAAAATATATATTCTCAGATCACATAAAACAACTTTGCTTTCTGCTGTATACACTAACATCTTCTGTTCTACTTCTGAGCAGGATTGTGTCTGGGGTTAGTGCCAGCTAGTACAGGTGCAGTTATGTCATATGTGGCAGAGTATAAGGAAACGGGAGTGTAGTCACATCGCTGGGTTGTGTGTTTTACTGATTGAAAGTCATTGCTTCCCTACGGTCTCATGCTCCAACTTTTATTGACACAAATGAACACTCTTGTCTTTCTTAGCAATGTAAACATTTGCCTTAGATACTCGTATCTTCTGTGAACAGTCTTAGCTATTCGTGAGGATCAGAATGGCTTTCTATGTTCATTTTTATTTAGCCTCCATGTAGACTCAGAAGTCTAACAAGAAAAGTATTTAAATGGTCGGGCAGGTTCCCAGGGATCCGTTTATATACACATATACAAACAAACTGGCGCTTCCTGTTCTGTAGATACAGTAACCAACCATGAGTTGAATATTAGCTTTTTCCTCACGTTTCTCCTATTAACAACCCTTCTTAATAATTTCTCTTGAATAAATAAGTTAATTAATACATTTCTCTGGTGGCAAAATACAAGTGAATTTGTTGAACCTAAAAAGGCCAAAGAAAAATTAAACTGGATACATGGAGGAAGAAAGGGCTCTTGTGATTTGTTTTTCTTTTTTTAGTTCTTGCTGGCTCCTAAAATGGATTGAGTTTTGTGTGTCTGTTTTGTGTAGCTGTCAGAATTTGTCAGAATTGCTGCAAGCACTACTTCAGATAAAATAACTATTGTTAAAACCTGCTTGTGTAATCGTAGCCAAAGAGGCAAGTGCACTTCTTTAGTTTGGTTTGGTTTGGTTTTCAGGGATGGGGACTGAGTTGTTTTTCCAATGGAGTTTTGTGGGTTTTGGGATTTTTTAAGGAGTTTTTAAATATTAAAATATATAGCTTTTGTTATGTAGACCCAGTAATGTACTACATTTTTTCTTAATTTGGGATATCTGTTTAGTATTCTTAGTCTTAATAGCCCCAAAATAGTTTACATGGATATTTCTTCTGTGTATTTTGGGATTTAAATATATCCTAGAAATCAAAATGTGAGTGAGTGAAAGTACTTATTTTTTCTTTGTATTTGGAAATGGTAAGTTTACAGTCACTGCGAGAATCACAAGGCCAGTGTAACCTGACTGTGTGGAAGATGAGTTTCTAAGACCGCAGTGGACTTTACCATTTTATAAATGTTTTCATTGTTCCTGTGCACATTATCTAAAGAGGGAATTTGTAAAGCTGTCTCTTAATCTATGTCAACAGAGACATCTCTTCAGCGAAGGCTTGCTTGCACTGTCTTGGACTGTGAATTCCACTTTAGTTGGCCGGTAGCAAGCAGTCTGCATTTCTAATAAACTCTCACAAGCTGCTGCTCCCTGGACCACACTTTGCATAGTAAGGGTGTGAGATAACTGAGCAGTCTGAACTGTTCATCATTTGTTTTTGTGCTATTAATATCTGGTAAACACAGGTGCCTTCTTCTCCAGAAAAAGAATAAACTCTTGAAAGAAAGTAAAATTTCTCTTTCTTGTAGAAAATTTTTTGTAGCCCCTCAGTTTAGGGCAGGAAGGAATAGTCCCACCTGCCCTAAACTGAGGGCTACAAGACATTCTTTTACATTATTTTTTTAAAGATCTTTCATTGCCTGGTACAATTTGACCCATTTCCCCTTTGAGACAAGGCTCAGATTTTAATTCTGTGGTTAGTTCAGTAATCGTTTTGTTTCCTTGTTGTTACACAGAAGGGTAGTGCTGTTAAGTAGAGGGAATTGCATTTAAGGCTACAAAACAAGCTATGTATAAATTGCATGGAAAACAAACTTGCTCTATAAACTTTCACTTCAGCCCCAATTTAAAAAATAGAATTAAAAACAAAATTTTGAAGCAGATTACCACATCTTTTCTGGAGTGGCTGCTAAACACAAACTGCCAGCCTTTCCGTTTGCAGCTGAGCATTTAATCACTGTGTTACCAGGCTGCCAGTACTACATTAGAACCGTATTGAAAAAACTTTGATACTGCTTAGGCCCAACACTCCTGCAGTTAAACTATCTCTGGGAGGCAGGGTCTAAACTTGGTATTTGTACATTACCCAGGTTATATTAACTTTGTGGCCAGGATTGAGAACACTTAAAATTTCAAATAGAGTGAAAGCTAAGTGCAAGAGCTGATCCTAAAGACAGGACAGTCACTTTCACAGAACAGCTGTGCGCTCTTGTCGCTGCACATTCTCCTGGGGGAGCCTCCTTGGCACCTCTCTGATCCAGCCTCTCTGCCTTGACTTGGTTTTTTTACCTCTCTAGAATTTTTCATTATGGTTTTCTGTTAGCCCATCTATCAGAAATCAGCCAGAAGTTGACTTTGACAAATTTACCATTTATATTTAGTTGCTCAGTTCCAATATCTTGATATTGGATCACTTTCCATAGAGACTGCAAATTGGGGACTTTTTTTTTTTTCTTAATTAAAGTTTAAAAAAAATACCTTTTTTGAAGTTAAATTGTGCTTAATTTATTTAAACCAGGAAATGTCTTTCTAAAAACAGACTTTGAGCACAAGGACCAGTAAAGAATGTATCTGAAGAGATTGCTATCAGTCTCTAAAAAACTTTAACTGTTTTTTAACAAGACTGCTCACCCATTTGCTGTTCCTCTTTTAACAAGATCGTTTTAATCATCCCTTTACATATCCTGGCCATCCTCCCATTAGATTTTATTTTACTTATTTTCTTTCATTGTCCATTTATGAAAGAAGATGAAAATCTAATAAGGTTGGGCTCTTTCTAAGAAGCCCTGGGGCTGCAGTGGGTAACTTATGCATTGAGATACTAACTGCAAGGTTAGCAGTTTGAATGCACCAACCACACCCACCTCCGGAGAAAGATGCCACTTTACTCCCATCAAAAGTTAGTCTTGGATGGGGGGGGGAGGGGAAAAATGAAGAGCGAATACCAGGGGCTCAAGTAGAAAGCAAATGTTTTGAGAATGATGAGGGAAATAAATGTACAAAAGTGCTCAACACAATGGATGTATGTGTGGATTGTGATAAAGAGTTGTATAAGCCCCCAATTAAATGATTTAATTAAAAACAATTTTTAGTCTTGGAAACCCATAAGGGCAGTTCTACTCGTCTTAGAGGGTTGCTATGAGTCAGAATCAACTCGATAGCATTGAGCTTAGTGTTTGGCCTTTTCTAGAACTGTTGTATGTTTCAGGGACTAATCACCCATTATTATTAGCCACAACACACCTGAAGGTTCAAATATTCTGTCAATAATTGTGATCCTCAATCTAACTGAAGGTGTGACAGCGGTGTTTGCTGGGACATAAAGCAAACAGCCAGTTGTACATGCCCACATGCCTGTGATTCTTGATGTGACCTTTCCTCAATAATCTTAAAGCATTTAGGCAGAGCGGCAGATTTTTAATGGAATACTTACTCAGCATTGAACTCGCATCACAATGAACATTCTACATAGTTTTTTTTATTTTTACTTCAGTACATATTCTTTTTAATCTCTTTACTAAAACTAACCCGATCCTTATTTTACCTTTGCTCTTCAGCATATTCCTTTTGCTTATATTCCACAAGTGATTTCCTCTTTTTGTTATTGTAAATGTGACTGACTGTGCCTTTATGTAGAGTAAATTCAAGTAATATATATTACAAGGTTGATATCTTCCACCTGTAGAATCAGTAGTATGCTAATTATGTAGAATTGTTTCTTTGTTGTAATAGCTGTGTGAAGGAGCTTCAAAAGGTTTGTGGAAAAATGGAATTAAAAGATAATGGAATTTTCCCCAAAGTTTTCTGCAGCCCCCTCATAGGTATTTTGTCATTATTGTTGTTTTGTACTTTTATTATTGTTTCTTTTTAAAAATCATTTTACTGGGGGCTTGTATAACTCTTACCACAATCCATACATCCATCCATTGTGTCAAGCACATTTGTACATTTGTTGCCATCATCATTCTCAAAACATTTTCTTTCTACTTGAGCCCTTGGTATCAGCTCCTCATTTTCCCCCCTCTCTCCCCACCCTCCCACCCTCACGAGCCCTTGATA